TGAGGACTTCACTGCACAAGTAGTTAAGCTGGTGATCTTTGTCTCCTGAGACGAATAACATATGTGAGAGAATAAATGAAGCTGATAGGGAGAGGGTGTAGATCTGGGTTTTCATTCCCAGTAGAATCAGGAGACACTCCACCACTCCTCCTCACATATCCAGAAAGAAACATCCTTGGAGATGCACAGGATTTGCCTGAAGAAGGCCCTGAGCAACCTGACACAGCTTTGGTGTTAACCCTGCAGTGAGTAGGTATTTGGACTAAAGACCTCTAGTAGCCCCACCTTAATTTTTCTGATTCTGTTCATCACCAATAGATGAACAATCATGCCTTCTTGACAGCAGGAATATAGACAGCTCCTTACTTGGGCTTCAGTAAAAACAAGAGGGCAGCTTCCCGTATGTATTTTCCACCTAACAGAGATGGCATACCAGTGGGAACAACCCAGCTGGAAAATAAAAAGCTTGTAGACTCTAGAAATTTTTGATTCTGGGGGAATGTGCAGAATATTTAAGCATGTTTCTTCATTAGTCTGTTTATAGCAGTGTGAACTTTATTTTTCATAACATATAGGATCCTATCAGATTTTTTTTATGGGTAAGTAATTTCATATAATGGCACAAAAGTCTCAGAAAGGACTCATCTCTCTTCTTCTGTAAATCTTCTATCCATAAATATCTCCAAGAGAAACCTCTATAACATTATATTTTTTATCATTGTAAAGCCAATATGGCTATTGCCCTTGGCATGTTGAATGATAAATATAAGGAAAACAGGGGCCTTTTCTCAATAAAGCAAATCACCATCTTTGACAGTTTTTCACCCTCATGTTATTAAAGTCTGCTTTCTAAGTTTTATCCTATCCCCACATCCATTTTCACTGGCTACAACTCCATTGTTGTAAATAGCTGTATTAATTTCCCCTTGATGATTTTGTTCTGCTTCAGATCAAAGGACAAAAGAAGCTATTTGGGTAAATATAGGACTTTCTGCAGGTTTTCTAAGATTTTAAAGAATCCAAAAGAAAGGAGGCTGGTGAACTCACTTTCCATGTAAGCCAAAACGAATAGACTGTGATAACATGACTTGTTAAGAGTAGGTGAATACAGTGAAACAGCTTCGATGCTCTTAAAATTGTACTTTCAGGAGAATTTCCACTTCCCTAACCCATAACAGAAAAGCATCCCCATAGTAACCTTGTATTTAGACTCCTAGAAAAATAAGGAAATATTTTTTATGCAAGTGCATTTAATTCTTTTAGGAAATTGATTATTCATAGGAACAATTTTTAGGAAATGTCTTATGTGGATTGATAGAAAAAACATGACAGTGTGGGAAGGAAAAAAAAAAAAAGCAGCTTTCATTGGTTTCTCTACACTGAAAAGGAGATTTCATTGTCACTGGTAGGTATCACTCAAGATACGACCTTGAAGTATCTCCTTGAGTGAAGGTACCTCTTTGAATGGTATGTACCATTCAAGATACTGGACCTCAAGTACCCTGAATGTTATTCGACATCTCTGCCATCATCCTCCAAACTCTCTTCATTTCTGAGCATATGAACAGCACTGATGTGATCTTACAGGCCTTACAGGTTGAGCTCTTACAGGTTGGTCTCTAGTGCTCAACCACTGATTAAGATCCAGTGCCTAGCTCAGGGCAGCCTTTACAAAAGTAATTACAAGGATGAATACTCTGGCTTTGTGGCTATGTAAACCATGAAGGGATTCTTAGAGATGTCTTAGCTGGTTTCACTGGAAAACTTCATAACGTGTCAGGCCTCTGCAAATTTGGGAATGAAGGCATTCTTCTTCCAAGAAAGGACAGGACCCTTTGTGGAACGTGGATGCCAACTGTATTCATACACTGGGGGGTCTTGAGACCCTACCCACTCAAACAGTTATGATGCCCATGGAAAGAGCCTTGCTCTATCCATCTTTGGTTGGAGGTGTAATACGCACTTGTCTAACAGCACAGCTTCTCTGGATCCTGCTGTTCCCTGTGAAGTTCTGAAAAGGAGTTATAAATTATCTTACATTTTTTCCGTGCTCATGCCCTACATCAGGGATGTTGCTGGGTCAACAGGACTGAAACAGCTACTTGTAAAGTTGAATGGGGGTAGGTGGAAAAGAGACCTCAGACAGCTCCTGGAAATTGAAAGATAACATTTAAAAAGAAAGTGATTCTGACATCTCTCACCTACTATTGCTGCTCTTACCTCATAAGCGTGTGCCTTGCCATTCTCATCCCTGAGTCTGCTCTATAGATCTATACAGCAAAGCACTCAACACAGACGGGCACAGGAGAGAGGCTGAGGGTGCTGTGAATGGATGTGGGAATCCTGGTGGAGATAGGATGGGGGATAGTCTTGGGCTCTGGGATATCTCCTCACTCTGCAAGGACATTGGGTGGAGATAGTGTCTTTGCAGAAAGCCTACACTGCTTGTTGTGCTTCTCACATGTATCTCAGAACTGAAGAGCTAGGAGTCTAGCCTGGCTGTTGTTTCAGTCATGTTATCCCTCCCAAAGGCATCATCCATGTCCTTACTGTGTGGTCTGCCAAGGTGCCTCTCAGCAGCAGCTGTTCATGAGGAACATCTCTAGTTCAAGACACAGCCCTGCTATCTTCTCACAGCTAGCAGCAGATGACAGTTATATCTGTACTATCCCATGTCCGCAGCTGCCAGAAACACATAAGGGCCTCTACCAAGGTTTTGATCAGTATTAAAAACCTCATGTCTTTCTGTCCCTTAGTTTTATTGCCAGGTGAGAATATCAATGAGGTGGACAGAGGAAGCAAGCAATCGATTCAATGTGAATGATAAAGCAAGCTTCAACCTTATTGAAAGAAATCACACCTTATATAAGCACTAACTATAATTATGCACACTAATCATAAATCTATTGGATACATCTAAAAGGTTACATTTTAATATCCCAGCCCCTTGTGGTATTTCAAGTATGTCACAACATCCTCCTTCTTCTGGCTTGTTTTGTTCCCAAAGGTTGTTTACCATCATAATCAAGGCTGCTGTGTACCTCAGTTTCTCCCTTTGTTATCATAACAGTCCTTGTTAGCATAACTGTGCCCTGAATCTCCTTCCTTGTTAGCATAACTGTACCCTGGGTTTTTTTTTTCCTTTGTTTACATCAGATGGCTGTAATCAGCTCCTGCACAGATCCATGACCTTGTTTTGCAAGCCATTCTCCAACATATCAATACCTCTTAGAAGGCAGATTAGAAACCTCTGCTGTAAAATCCTACTAATTTCAGAAGGGACCTCTATTGGTCTCTATCCAGCCCACTGCTTGCAGCAGGATTAACTTCAAAGCCTGATTTGTCTTGACAGGACTTGGAATTGATGCATCACTTTTGTCCTATGCTCATTACAGTTATTTAATAATATTTGATTCAAAGTACTTCTCTAGTGTACTCCTAAAGTGTTTCTCTGTTAGTAAGTAATGTGCTTTCATTGAGACCCTCACCTCTTCATTTTTAGAAGACCTGGCAGGTGATTAAAATGTTCACTACAACTTTGATAATTTTAAATAATGCAGCTAAACCTTTGCTCACAGCAGTAATTAGGTATTCATTGACATGAGAGCCAATATTCTGCGTCAATGTTTTAGACTGGCTAGACTGTCAACTTGAAGACAGCTTTTAATGTGAGTTCTAAATTCCACATTTCTCTTTTGTCAGATGGCTCCAAGTTAACTTCCTTAGTTACAGTGCCAATTTTTTATTTTAGTCAAATCCACCTACCATAATTTTTAATTATTGTAGCCCAGAGAAAGCAAATCTCATTCTTCTCTCTCAGTCTGCCAAGGGAGAAAGCTGAGGACAGCTGAGGTGCTGAAATTCCTTTACATTAGGCAGAGAAACAGAAGCAAGCCTTTTAATTTTTTCTCAACAATTTGATATGTAAGAGGTGGGTTCTGAATCCTAGGGTCTGTTTGGAACTTTAAGGAACCATGGAGGATGGAAACATTAAATAAAATAATGAAGTTGCTTCTTTCCACCCTGTTCAAAACTGATCTTCTCTAATTTGTCTGAATCATCCTGTTCCACCTTCATGTAGGAAACACACAGAATAACACGGCTTTGCACCTTTCAGACTCTTAGGTCTGCTGCAGTCCAGCATGTGCTGTAACTCTCACTGGTTTTGCTAAAGAAATTACAAATAACTGTAGCAGTTGATTCATCTTAAGATGATAGATTTCAGCACTCCTCAGGCATCCCTATTTATATGATACAGTCTTTCCTGATAAAAGTCACATGATACCAGTATCTTAGCCTTTATGTTGCCATAGGTACAATCCAAACCTAAAGTATCTCCCTATAAAAGGAAAGACTGCTTCCTGAAAAAGAGGTGTAGAAAAGTCATACTCTTGACAAATTGATGGCACTTTCATTTTGATTATCTAGAATAATTCAAAGTAAGATGAGTTTACACTAATGATCTTTCCATTTGTGATGGGATGCTGGAGTGCAGCCTTCCGCTGAATTTGGAGAAGACCACAGCTTAATTTCCATTTCTTTCTAGGCATGGGCTTTCTTCTAACTTTCTAATAACCCTCTTCAGATTTTTTGTGCAGATAAACTTACCAGTCTAAAATTTTTTATTGACTTCCCAGTTTCTACTTTCATCTTGTTAGAAAAATAATGAAACCAGTACAGCAGCTTTAAATAATTTTGTGTTGATCTTTTGGTTATGCTGAGATGATCATGAATGTAAGCATGTGTATGTGATCACAGAAGTGAGACCACGAATTGATCAAAGCTCTTCTTCCTCACAAGTCATTAAAGCATTTCCCTTTAGGTAAAGTGTTATGTTAGAGACTTTTTGTTTGCTTGTTTGTTTTAGCAGAGATTTTTTTGTCATAAGTGAATTGATGCATTTTGAGTTCTGCCTGCATATTTGCCATAGTGAAGTCTACAGAGAATCTGGTCCTAACATGATTATGGGGCTGTTTTCCAACAAGCAGACATTTGTTCTACTAAAATTTACCACACACACATATCACAGCTCTGGTAGTACCCCAGTTCAGCTGAGCTGTTTTCTTCCTCCTCAACATTTCCTGAGGACCCCTCTGATTTCCTTGTTCCTCAGGCTGTAAATGAGGGAATGCAGTAATGGAGTGATGTTGGTGTAGACCAGACATACCATCTTGTCTCGAGCTGGTGAGTAACTGGTCTTAGGACGAATGTATATGAAGGTGGCACATCCATAGTGTAGCAAGGTGATGGCCAAGTGTGAAATGCAGGTGGAAAAGGCCTTGCACCTTCCCACGGAGGAGGTGACATGTAACAAAGCAGCAGCAATGCAAACATATGAGGTCAGGATTAGGAGGAAGGGGAGCAGCAGGAGGAGCACACAGGCAGCCAACAAAGGCAGCTCAGGGGTGTAACTCTGTGTACAGGCCAGGTGTAGCACAGCGGGGACATCACAGAAGAAATGGTTGATATGACGCAACTGGCAGTAAGGTAAGCAGAAAACAGCCACTGTCAACCGCAGGGCAACAGCAAAGCCTCCCAGACAGTACGCCACAGCCAGCCTGAGGCAGAACTCCTCACTCATCACAGCTATGTAGTGAAGTGGCTGACAGATGGCAACATAGCAGTCATACGACATAGCTACCAGGAGGAAGCATTCAGTCCCACCAAGTGCCATGAAAAGGTGGATCTGTGCAGCACAGCCTATGAAAGAGATGGTTCTGCCATCCACCATTATCAGGCTGAGGAGTGTTTTAGGGACAATGACTAAGGTATAGCAGAGCTCGATGACAGAGCTGACAGAGGAAGAAAAGCATGGGAGGATGGGAAGGCTCCGTAACTACTGCCATGAAGATCATCATATTCCCTGCCAATGTGATCAAATGGATAATGAGAAAGATAAGGAAGAGGAGGACCCGCAGACGGAGAAGCTCAGAGAAGCCAAGAAGCTCGGAGAAGCCTAGAAGGAGGAACTCCATGGTTGCACCAGTGCTCTTATTGTCCCTCTCCATGCAGCCTTCACATGGCATCTACAGGGAGAGAAACAGAAGGGAGACAGTTGACTTTGACCTGATGCCTGGCAATCAATTCTGTATAGGAAACAATGTTGCAGTACTGTAAGAACCAGTGGAGTAAAGCTCATTTTGGGGTCAGGAAGGTACTTTCATTTAAAAACAAAACTGATCTCACTCAGTTACATTCGACACACTCTCAGACTCATATTCTCACAACCACCAAGGTTCTTGTGCCCAAATGATCTGCCTAGGATTCTTTGCCATGACATTGATGACAAGGAATTTCAGCTGTTGGGTCTTCATCGCTTCTTCTGAGTTGTTCTTAGGTTGATGACTGTTTGGACGTTTTGAACATGCATTAGGTACCCTTTAGGAGTTGAAACTGATTAGTCTCTCTGTCCTGCCCTGCTTTTGAGAGTCATCATTGGACTCTTCCCTCCTGATCTGAGTGTCCTAAGAAGCTGCAGATGGACGTGTTGGGCCCTGATGATCATCAACACCTAGGTCTTGCAGACATTCTTCTACTGCTCCTTCTGGTGCTTCCACTCCCAGGCAGACCCATTCATTCTCTATTCACACCAATATTGCAGTTCTCTACATCTGTGATAGAGATGTGTAAGGGCAACCAGACAGTGAGCTGGAGCTTCCGATCTACAATCTGACTCCAATTAATGGGAATTTGAGGTGTTCACTGACTAGTTTCTCCCTTCCCCACAATGGTTCTGACTCAAAATTCAAATGGAAATAGGGTTTCAAATGAAAGGGGTCAGTGATTAGAAACAAGAATTCCAAAATCAGAGATGACATTTTGGCTGCTGACATCTTTATGCCTGGCTCAGCCCTATGGCATCAGAGTTAAAGTAAACAAACTTCCAAACTCAAAATCAATTATGTCCATGGCAATGTACTATGCATAACAATTTTTTAAAGAAAATACAAAGCTATTATCTTGGACTTGGAGGGAATGACATCTTTCTTGTCACAGGAAGAATGGAGATTTCCTAGGAATGTAGAGTGATGTAAAGCTGTTTAAGTTATAAAGATCTAGAAATGGTAAGGATGTCAAGAGATGTACAGTAATAAATTACATATACTCTTCATAGATGAATAGTGCTCATGGCTTATGTGTTCATCATGTAATGCAATATTTACTACAGGGAGTAATTCCAACTCTTTCTACACTTTACTGTAAACCAGAAAAAAAAAAAAAAAAAAAAAAAAAAAAAAAAAAAAAAAAAAAAAAAAAAAAAAAAAGATTCCTTAAAGACTTCTGCTCACATAAAAAAAAAAAAAAAACCAGCAATATTTAAGCATGAAAGAAGCTGGAAAATTACATTAAATATTCCAATGCCATCAAGAGCAAATAGAAGGAATGGGAAGTTGATGGAAAAAATTATTAGCGGAGACAGGGATCTTCCTGGAAAGAAGATATCTCAAAAAAGCTCCAGAAAGAAAAAATCAATAAAGTTGAGGTGAATCTGATAAGCCTACACACCTTTACCTTTATTTTTGCCTCTGCAATCACTGAAACTTGCTGCCTCAAGGTTTCCTTGTGATCCAGTATCTCAGCAGGATTCAAAACATCTGCAGACTCAGGTGAATAATGAAAATATCCACAATTATATTACCTCAGGTGCAAAACTAGGCATTAGATCTCTGTGTTTCAGAGCATAGGTCAGTAAAATGAGTAAGTTAGGGAGAAACCTTAACATAAGCTCCAAGACAAAAAAAGTGGACAGTCAGTGAAGACCAAGAAGGGGCTCTTTAGAGAACGTAGAGGGAACAGTAAGCCTTTAAAATCAAGTAACTCAGCAAGGACTACTGCTAGACACAGTTCCCAGTGGTTATAAAGCCATGGCTAACTCCTACATCCACCTTTTGCTGCTGCAGGGCCTCCCTGACATCTATTCTAAACAGTCTGGCTATAAAGCTTTCCTGACACTGTATCTAAGTAGTAGATCTTCACAGAAAGCAGGGGTAATGGGTCTTAAGACTGCAGACTCAATCACTGGGGACCAGCTGGGGCTCCCCTCACTCCAAGTACTGAGACTTTAAGGGGATTCTGCTAAACACAACAAAGCTAGAATGGGGAAGAAACAGGGGTTTCCCTTCCTTTCGTTTGGAGCTGATCACTTCAGTGTCAACATACCATCTCCGGGTTAGAAGGCAAGGAAATAGAGACTTCTTCCTCTTGACGATGTCCGCAGTTCAGTCTGGGCTGAGATTCTGTTTCTTGCCCAGTCTGGGATCCCTCTGTTCTGAGTGTCCCTAGAGCAAATGTTTTCTTTCAGCATTTCATAATCATCCTCTCTTCTCTTCCACAGGACCCAGTTCCTTATATACAGTATGACACAGAGGTCTTTCCTCTTCCCCACTGCCTCTGCTCTCCCTGCATGAATGTCAGGCAGTTCCATTCCTCCCAAGAAAAGTGGGTTTGCACTTTTTCTGTAAATCAAGCAACAGGATGTAATTACACCTTCAGAGGAAGGCAGTGTTGTAACACCCTCCTAGAGGGTTCTTGCTCCTTTCTCTGAAGCAGTTGGGCTGGTTTGTACCTGAAATGGCAATGATTTAATTAACAGAATGCACTGGTGCTCTTCTTACTTCAAAATATATCTGTGGGTCTTTAAGTAAGTTTAAACCAAACTCTCACTTAAAGGCAAAACAAAACAGATATAAAAACTTAAAACCCATATGTGGGGATTTCACCAGATCAGATAATCCATTATTTCTTGCTGACTCAGATGAAATTGCTGTTCAGCAGGGGATAGGACTAAAAATATTTGGGCAGAATTTATTTTTATTACCATTGTTACATTCATTTCTGGCCTTACTTACACTGAAATCATTAAGGAGATCTGTAAGTAGAAAAGAGAGGCAAAGATTTTTGACTGCTAACATGGAACTTGGCATTAACATGTAAATATGGTACCTTAAGATTTTTCCCAGGTCATGGTTTAGAGGAATTCTACCTTTCAAAATATTCTTCTGTAATCTTTTATCTATATGGCATAGTCATTTTGGGACAAAACTACCCGATGTATCATACAGTGTGGGGACTAATTGTATCGGGAGCAGCTCTGTAGAAAAGAACTTGAGCTTCCAGAGGACAGTAAGATGAACATGAACAAGGAATAAGCAACAAAGACCAACCACATACTGGGCTGCAATAGCAAGAATGTGGCCATAAAGTGAAGGGAAGTGATTATTCCCCTTTATCTGTCATACATGAAGCCACATCTAGAACACTGTGTCCACTGTTGCAGTCCCCCATATGAGATATGACAACAAGCTCAAGAGGAGCACAGCACATGATGTCCAAGGAGAGGCTGAGGGAGTTAAGTTTGTTCAACTTGTGAAGAGAAGGCCAAAGGGGGATCTAACATGACTTTAGGTAGCTACTGGGGGGCTACAGAGACAGCAGAGCCAGAGTCCTCTCACAGGGGCACAGTGAAACAGCCAGAACATTTACATCAAAGAAAATTATGATTGACCACAAAAATAACCTAACACTTCTTCTCACAAGGGTGGTTCAGCACTGGAACAGGTGTCCTGAGAGGCTGGGAGGTCTTCCTCCTTGGAGATGTTCACCTGTTGCCTGGACAAGGCCATGAGCATCCTGATCTAGCTCTGGAGCTGTGCTGGGAGCAGGATGTTGGACTAGGCACCTCCACAGGTCCCCTCCCATCTAAATCATTCTTTGAGTCTATGATTCTGTTCAGCCTTGGTCAGATGTCTAGTATGGCCAGGACCAGAACTGTGTGAACCTGAGGAGCTTTACTGCCACAAGCTGAAATACATGCGGAGTTTTGGCTGCCCCAGGACCCCTAACTGGGATTCTGCATTGTCACACAGTTTTGAAATTAGGCAGAATTTAAATACCAAAGTTGTATTTAAGTGGGTTTACTCTTTTTTAGACCTGTCATGTAACTTCTTGGAATTAAAGCTATGACAGTAGAGTCTATTATCTTTAGTCTCTCAATTCACTTCCAGCTTTTAACTTTTTTTTTTATTTCAGGTTTTTTCCGTACACTTTTTTGTTGTTGTTGTTTAAGATGCTGCAAACAAGTCAGGGCACAGAATGTCCTTAAAGCATTTACAAAACTGAATTTTGAATCTGGCTGGAATTTCTAAATACTGTTGTATAAAAATGAATAAAACAACAACCCTGATGCCTCTTTCTGTGGCATGTTGTCTCTGCAGCTGTAACAGGACTAAAATTGAGGAGCTGTTTATTTTATAATTCCACCTAGCAAATTGGGCAGAATATAAGTGGAAGTAAATCTTTACAGTGAAGAGTCTATTTTAGTCAAATGCTTTGCAGAGTAAGATTGCTTCCTCTAGCAAATTCTGCGAGAAATTCCGAACACCAGCTGATTAACTGACATATGTTTGTCTTTGTGTTGTAAAACTCAGGGGCTTAGGTGCCATTTCTTTCTTTAATTTATATTTATCCTTTTCTCTAATCCAAACCAAAGGATAAAATATGCTACCTCAGTAAGAATGCAAAAATAATTACAAGGAACTATTTTGACAAGTCTGTTCCAACTTTCTCATCTTCAGATAGTCCTTTTCTGCTGCTGGACTGGAGGTGAACCTAGGTGAGTCAGCACATACACACTAACCAATACCACACAGTCAGCAGTAATATGCACTATTTTTTTTAACCATAGTGCCCAGCCTTATACTGAAATAAATAAGGCAAATTATTGTTTCAGTTTGTGTGTGTGTGTAGATAAACTGTCATTTATTAACATGCAACTTACCCCTCCCCACAACGTTTCAACACACACCTACACATTAACTCCAAAACATGGCTCACCGAAGAGGGGAGTGTTAGCTGGAGTGAGGTATGCATCCCAGTGCCAGAACACACAGCAACAAGACAAACAGAGAGCAGGAAAGGATGAGAATATGCATGTCAAAGTGACTCCATACTTCCTCCTCTAGGCCACACCTTTCAGGTTCCCAGCATTTTCATTGCATCAGCTTACAGCCAAATTCATAATAGATTA